GTTTGGTGATGAGCTAAATAGGAAAGAGAAGGGAAAAGTTGGTCTTTTTAATATCATATTCATTTTGGTTTTGCTTTCCGGGAAGGGGTTGAGTTGGGATTGTTCAAAGTTTCTTATCGAGTAATTTCAGGAAGTGTTTATAGGTTTTTCATACCAGGATATACAAGATTGAGTTCCAGATAACTCTGTATATCATTTGTGTGATCAATGTGTTCTTTGATTAAGGTAATGTCTCTGCAAGTTACATCTGTATCATCTAAATAAATGTGTAGATCTGTACTCAACAAGTGGCACTTTGTGTAAACTTTCTTTCTATCCGGTAAGCTGATCTTTCTTGGACCTGGGTAGTCCAGATAATAAACAAATACTTCCAGGAAACAATATAATCACAATTTCGTGGGAAGTCAATGACATAATTTAAGTCTCTCTTTAGCCTTTTGCCTGTTATCAATTCTGAAGGTTACAACCAGAATGATGGATATATTTGAGTTATTCAATGGAAGTTTTACAACACAGTTATGGCTTCTTATGTCTTGAGATAGCCTTACAGTCTCTTTGATACGTTTCTGTATTTGTTTCTAGATTTTCGAGAAATATTTCAATTGATACCATATGATGACAGATATGTTGCAGTAGGAAATGAGCCATTCCTTTCGAGCTACTCAGGTCAGTTTCAGTCCTATGTAGTCCCTGCACTGCTCAATCTGCAACAATCCTTGGCAAAGGCAAATCTTGCTGGCTATGTAAAGCTGGTGGTTCCTTGCAATGCTGATGCTTATGAGTCTGATTTGCCTTCCCAAGGGGCATTCCGGCCCGAACTTACCCAAATTATGACTCAAGTTGTTTCATTCCTCAACTCAAATGGATCTCCTTTTGTAGTCAATATATATCCTTTTCTAAGTCTCTATGGGAACTCCGATTTCCCACAAGAGTATGCGTTCTTTGAAGGTACTACACATGCTGTTACGGATGGACCCAATGTCTATTATAATGCATTTGATGGAAATTTTGACACTTTAGTTGCGGCCCTCACCAAACTTGGATATGGTCAAATGCCAATAGTTATTGGGGAGATAGGTTGGCCAACAGATGGAGCTTTGGGTGCAAACCTCACTGCAGCCAGGGTTTTCAACCAGGGGCTCATAAATCATGTTCTAAGAAAAGAAGGGACACCGTTGAGGCCTGGTGTTCCTCCCATGGATATTTATTTATTCAGTTTACTTGATGAAGGCGCAAAGAGTACACTTCCAGGAAACTTCGAGAGGCACTGGGGGATTTTCTCATTTGACGGGCAGGCTAAGTATCGACTGAACCTAGGTCTGGGAAACAAAGAATTAAAGAATGCGAAGAATGTTCAGTATCTTCCATTCAGGTGGTGCGTAGCAAACCCATTAACGGATCTTTCTGATGTCACAAATCACATGAGACTTGCCTGCAGTGTTGCAGATTGCTCAACACTTAACTATGGAGGATCGTGCAATGAAATTGGTGAAAAGGGAAATGTCTCATACGCATTCAACAGTTACTATCAGCTGCAAATGCAAAACGAACGAAGCTGTGATTTCGATGGACTTGGTATGATTACTTTCCTAGACCCTTCAATAGGTGATTGTAGGTTTCTTGTTGGTGTCAGTGAAACCAGCTCAGCTGGTTCTCAAAAAAACAGAAGGTGGTTGATTATCTTGGCTTTCATTTTATGGGGTCTATGGACGGTTTTTATGATGTAAAATAGTTTTCCAAGTGGGTTTTTCAGTGTCCCCTCTTATAAAACTAGTTAAACCAAGGGTGAAAGATTAGAATACTACAGTTATTTACATGTGATCAGCATTATTTCAGGATTTTATAGAATGAGAAGATAGTCGTTGTATCAACTTGGTAGTAGATGTACAATGAAAAATTACATGGAAACTTATATTCCTTGATTGTTATATGTTCCTCTTGATCTTGGTTGTGTAATTGATGTTTATGGAAACATGTTCT